CTTCACGAAACTTATAATGATTTTTGTTTTTCTTTCTTTCTTTTCACTTTTAACCAAAAAGAGGAACTGAGCCTCCTCTGATCCTTTCGAGTGTTTTATTGTCTGAAAATTCGTAAGAAACGGTCTCCCATTGGGAAGCGTAGAATCTAATTACCAAGCTTTTTTTTTTTTTTTTTGAAAAAGAGCCTCTGTTCCTAGTCCTATGTCTCCAGCCAATGTAAAGCAAAAAGCCAAAAGCTAAATTTCAATCTCCCCCCTCGAAAAACAAATATTCAAACTATAATTAGTATTAGCTAACGAATCATGCCTAGGAGTAACTCTTTGTTACTTTCCTCGTTTAGCCTATATATCTTTCACGAGGCTAGACACTTTCACTATTCATCTATTGATAGATTGGATTATACATGTTATAATGGACTTACCCGGATTTAATCCAGATTTAAGGTCGAAACCTTAGAAAGAAAAGTCAATCCGGCCTGGTTATTGACGAAGCTAGGTCAAGTTGTTGATATGTGGGCTTTGGCCCACCACAAAATCTCTAAACCGGTACGAACCACATTGATTAGCACTTCTTAAAAGTTAAAACTATACGTAGGACATATAGGCAGTGAAATAAAATACAAGGACTGTATCATCATCATCAGTGAAGTGTATCCCCACCCAAAAATAAATAGAGCGGTCGAGGCCTTTAGATATTGTAACCTGAGTGGATGTAAATGCATAAGCTGAAAAGATGGATTTATGAGTTGGATTACTTTTTCGTACAAGTGTTGCGGTCGAGAGGACCAAACTAAGGGATTGAGAGTAAGAAAAATCTAACATAATAAAACAGAGCATAGTGTGTGTATTGGACCACTTTGTATGTTGGACCATATTGAAGTATTTATGCGTGTGGTAAAAAAAAAGCAAGTACCTGAATGATGTCACATGGAGTGTTGACCTTTGATGTTGTAAAAAACGAGTTTTCGAATACTACTTTTGCTTTATAATTCAGGGTGTAAATATTGTCCTACAAATACATAACCCAGCAAAATGGCAAAAACACCAAAGCAAGAGATAAAAAAAACTTGGAAAAATCGATCTAGAGATGCCGAAACAAAGTCGTTTTTTATAGTTTAGTTGTATGAACATACTGTTTATTTTGAGAGCCAGTAGATGATAAGAAACAAGGTACAAGCAGCTATAACAGTGGAGAGGATAAGTGTGTCCCGAGAACGTCTCCTTTTAATTGAACCTATTAAATTGAAAAAGCAAAAGTTGCTTAAAGGATAATTAGAAGGTTAATGAGATTCGTTGAAGATATTAATATAGAGGTTGGTAGAGATACCAAGTAAGCCACGGATCACAGGGAATTTGTCTCCGAGATTTTTTACTTTTCCTTGAACATCTGAAAACAGAGATCGCTGAGAGCCAAGAACTGATCTTGTTGCCTGAGCTTGACCAATGACTTCATCAATCTGCAGCCAATTTTTCATCATCATGAGAATTACAATATAAAGAGGGCTATTAACAGAGTTTAACACTCAGAATACAAAAGCCATGACAATCTTACATGGGATATACTTCCATGGATTGAAGCTCTCTCCCTTAATACCTGCACACCTGGCGACATACTACCAGAAGCCTGCAGAAGCAAAAATTGAATCCAACTTTCCAATCAAAATGTGTTTATAGAAGAAATATGTAAGAATTTTCGTTTTCTTAATTAAAATGCTTGAGGACACTCATTACCTTATATTCACTTATGTCATCCCTTACAGAACTCAAAAGCTCAGCATGCTCTCTCATCGAGTTTATATTTCCTTTTATTCTCCGAAACTCCTAGAAATTTACATGAAAATACATTATAGGAGGAGATATAGGTCAGACAATACATATAACGTCTTACTACTACAGGATCATAAGAATCACTAAACAAAAACCACACTGGTGCAAAGGTTTTTGCCTTTTACGAGAAAATGGGACTGCAATTACTCATCTTGTATCACTAAATCTCGGATGCATGGTACCAGAACAGTGGATAGCAGTACCAAAACAGAGTATGCATAAGCATCTATTAACTTAGCAACCTTCTGCATTATATACTACAAAGCCAAAGGTACTGAGCTGGATATTGTTGCATTAGTAGCACTGAGATTAGAATTGTCAAGTTTGAGATTTATATTGATTGCAGTTACTCTAAAAGTCACTCAAACAATGAAAACAACACAGAAATTTAGGTGAAGGGGCTAGCATTGAACCTGTGTATATTCATGAAGTATATCTCTGTGCCTTGCAAGCTTTTGGGTAACCGACGTTGTGGGTGCAGCAGATGCAGCGCATCTACTCATGGAATCATTAATGTCCAACAATTTCTCGAGCAACGATTGAATTTCCATCTCCATGGACTTCCATGATCTTCCAGATCCAACAGTTGGAGATCCAGCGTCAACATACCCTGAAACCGAAACATATGAATCTGGTAAAGAAAGGCACCTGAACTTTGCATTTCAAGAGATTCTGATGATTCGTTATAAAAAAGAAATATGTGCTACAACAATGCCATTCTTAAGAGCTGAAAGCTATTGCAAAACAGGAAGCTTCAAACAAAAAACTCTGTTTACAGAGTCGATTACACATGGAAAAATCGCTGAAAATCTGAGAGAAGCCCTCTCAATGGCAGCAATACTTCACTTTTATTTTGAAAAATCCGCTAAAAACACTAACATTCGGATTAATCCTTTCTACAGTAAAGATATGAATCAAGCACTGGGGAACCATAACAGAGGCCGAGACACAATAGCAATCAAAATTCAATCCGTTGAAGAGATCATATCGAAAATTCATGCCTCGATCCGTATCACATTACAAACTACACTAACACATAAAGGATGATCAAGCTGAAAGGAAGAAGAACGAACCGCCTTGGGTAAACCTGGCGCCGAGCTTAGCGTAAGAAGAGAGCTTAACGTCGAGATCGCCTTCGATTTTACGAGCCTCCCGCCGAAGTTCCTCCCAACCAGATTCCTGCAGATCCAGACTCGATTCTGTCATTTTACGATCTTCAACGATTCAGATCAGTAACCTCTCCGTTCTCAGATAACTCGCCAGCTCCGCCTTGAACCAATGCCGGAGCTCTCCGGACAGCGACGATCTGATCCTAACTGGAACTGATGGAACCAAATTAGCAGCTACGAACGAGAGAGAGGATCGCTCTTCCCTCCTCCGCTGCTTCTTCGCTCGACTAGTAATGGGCCTTTCTAATCATCATAGACTCTTAATAGTGGGCTTATTTAGGCCCTTTTGTGGTAAGCCTTAATCGGCCTCTCGGCTAAGTTGAATTCTAAGCCCAGTAGTGAGTGACACGTTCTTGTACGTACGTGTACGGAAAACACGACGTTGATGACTTGGGGACTCAAGAAAGGGAAAGATTCCATAGGATCACTATTGAGAGGAGTGTTGTGTTTGGAACAAACTTCTTTCAGATTTTCGAAAGGTCCAAAACATTTTGTTTTTTGTGATTCGCAAATTATGCTTAACTTTTTATGATCAAATCATATAGTTAAACTGTAGATTATATAACTCATAACCAATTGTAACGTGAAACTGTGACGACTAAAATACAAATATCATATTAAAATGGGACTATGGAAACAGTAATGGGCAAAAAAGAAAAACGAATATCTTCTCCAGCTGGTAATATCTCATTATTATGAAAGTTTAAACGTCTTTTAGCTAGAATACAGACTTACAACAAATATGATTAAATATATATAAAAAAAAACTTGTCGGTTGAAAACATGAATTGATCTATAAGGAATATTGTATATTTGTTTATGAATTGTCGGTTTAATATTTTGCTTTGCTTGTATCAAGCAAGTACTGTGTAATTAAGCAAACCATTTACACCGAGTAAAAGAGATTTTCTGTAATGTATGGCATCAGAGTGCTATATTATCACTGATATGTCTCATGTGTTTTAGTCTTTCTTCTTGATCGATCATTTATGTGTTTTTTTTCAGTTTTGTTTTTGAATTCTTTAATTGAACTCCAACATATGTCATTGGATACAGAGGAAAGAAACAAAGTACGATGTTAAGTTTAAAATTAAAATGAACGTGTAAAGTAGATCAAAATATAGAAGAAACCTATTCGTATAAAAAAATTCACCAAAAAAGCCTAACTAGATCTATCATTTTTATTGTCCTTTGTTTAAAAGTATGTTTGTCCTTGTATGAATTTATATACTATTAACCATTTATAAACGTACGCAAGTAACGCCAACTAGAGGACACACCGTACACATTTTGTTCTCGTATTAATATAATTTTATTATTATTATGCATATATTTTAAACACACAATCACAGGCAAGTAGATGATCACTGGGGCACTAACCTGATTATTTATTTATTTTTTGTTCTTTCTAAAACAGTAGATGATCACTAACAAATAAATAAACGATATGGTGGTGGGATTTGATCTCGTGTAAGTGTTATCGAATACGTTCGAAAACTTTGTCCCACTTGGCCAGCACACGTGTGGTGGCATAGTTGTCTTCATCTTCACAGTTCAAACAGTACGAAGCTCCGACAAAACATTTCCAGATTAGAAATGTTAATTATTATTAGTTTTAGGCCTTTGTTTGCTAATTTATATTGTAATTTTTCAGATTCAAAATCAACCATAAACAACAACCGTAGTACTTCTACACTCGTACTAGGCAGCTAGTAATATTATTCGATTTGTGATTGATACTATAATTACGTTCTAAACGTAGGCTAACGGTTAATGGGACGTGTCACATTTAATGTAAGATTCTTCCGAGTTTTTGGACTTATTTTATTTGCCAAGCAAAATGCAAAAAAAATGTGGCAGTTTTTGCTTTTATTTGAATCCAACGGTCAAAAAGGCTTAAATCTTCATCTAACCGTTCATTATTGAATTATTTAGACTCCACCATAATAAACTCCTTTAAAATCATACGTCTTTCACTCACTCTTCTCTTGACCTCTTTCTTCTTCTTTACCGTTTTTACAATACTACAAAGCCATTTCTCCTTTTCCGTTCACATCATTCTCTCGCCGTCGGTGATCCTCCGCCCTCGAGATTCTTAATAAATATTCTTTCTTCTTTCTTACAAAAAGAAATCACTAGAAATGTAAAAGTGATCTCATTGATATATTTTTATTTGTTGTTGTAGTTCAAATGAATCACTCTTTATTTGACTCGTTAGTCCTTGTCTTGATTTACTCTCTTAAACGTCCGCTATGTCTTAGATCTCTCAAAGACTAGTATAGCTTTGTGACGATACTGTTTTTAAAGTTAGCCAAGAAGATGAGGAAGATCATAGGGTTTAGAATCGGGAGACGGGTCTCTAGATGGATCCTTCGGAATACCCGGATCCGACGTTCCGGTTACAACCGAGTACACTCGAGTACACGACAAGCTTGCAAGCTGAGACCATTCGCTTTACTCAGAAGTTGGGGACAACGTCTCAAGAAGAGTTTCGGACTTTTCAGGTCTACGAGAGGATCCGAATACATACCCGACCCGGTTCCAAAGGGACACTTGGTGATCTACGTGGGTCAAAAAGACGGCGACTGTCACAGGGTTTTGGTACCCATCGTTTACTTTAACCATCCTCTGTTCGGTGAGCTGCTCAAACAATCCGAAAAAGAGTATGGATTTCGCCACGAAGGTGGTATCACTATCCCTTGTCTGTATTCGGACTTCGAACGGGTCAAGACCCGAATCGCCTCCGGTTCAAGTTCTCGGATATTCCCGTGGAGCCGTCTTTGCCGCAATTGAAGACAATTTATGGATAAACTTCTTATAGGATTTTCAACCTTTATTTTGTTTTCTTTAAGTAGATATTGTTCCCTTTAAATTTACCATTTTCTATCTAATGTTACTTTTTGTCACTTTACTCTTTTCTTGTTATAGTCGTCAATTTATACAGTAAGGTGATAATGTAAATAATTATTAAGAGTCTGAATAGTGATTATTGATAAATGATGTGATTAGCATGGGGACACTTAAGTGTTAGTGGTATATTGTCTATGGACATTGATATAAAGATCAAATGGAATTGGTGATGAAACACCAAAAGCCAAAGGCAAAGTGTTACACGATTCTATTCTCACCATGGGTCTACTCAAGATTTTGTTAGCTATCACCGGCAAGTATTTGCTTGTTGCTTGCTTATTCCCCACTAACTAGTTATATATTTCGAATACTACTTATACCAAAAGTTATATATTTCGAATACTATTCGAGAATGGCTAGGTTAGACTAAAAAATATTTTGTCTTTTGTGGTTGCCTTGTCTGATTTGGATACGAAATACCTTGACGTGAAAGATGTTCAAATCTGAAATTAGCGTCGGGATGCGACTGATATCCGAATAAGCAACTAGTATTCATTTCTATATTTTGACTTCTAGTTACATGTTTCTATAATGTTCACACATACATATACAATCGACTTCTTGGTTAATTACAAACATTCGGTCTGTTCAAGGATAATATAATGACCGCCTAGAACCATTTAATTGGATTCGTGATCATATGAATTTGTAGAGAATATGAAATTGATTTTTCATATGACATATAATTGACGATTCGTCCATAAGTAGAGAGTATAAATTTTACATCCAAAAGATTCATGAGCTTTTTTGTGTGGTTACCATGTTTATTAATATAAGCATATACTCATATATGCTTATATTTAATATCAATGTCAAATAACACGAGAATGATATATATGTCTTGATTGATGACAAAAAAAAAAAGATATATATGTCTTGATTATATATTTTGACTTTACCCGTTTTGTTAAAGTATTTGACTTTACCTAATCTGTTTTTCATCACTAATACGTTGTGAAACATTAATTATCAACCAAAATTTATAGAAAAACAAACAGCTAAAAAAAGTACGACCACAATGGTTGGAAAAACAAAAAATTCCACGTAGTATCCGCGCGCGCCGCGCGATCATATGCATTTGAAGACATCTATGTCATGTATACTACTAACTAGCAATTAGTTATTGTTGAAGTTGTTATTTAATTTGTCTATAAGTGTTCTCCTTCAGTTTATCTCTATAGTCGTCTTCATATAAAGAAAGAGGCAGCCGTATTTTCCCAAAAGAATGGCTGACGTACGTAGTGAGAATCTATCTACACACTAGCGCAGAACATGTTATCGTAATCTGTTCTCAAAGACGAACCAAAACTGTCAAAACTATATATCCGTACACATACATATTTACTACTACTAAGGTAAATTGGTACTCGTATATATATGTTGACAAATTACAATCAATGCAAGCATGTATGAATGGTAAAACAGAAACGACGTGCGGGTTCGGGCACTGCTTGAGTAAACAGAAACTAAATTATGGAAACAATACATGCCACGGTTCTTGGAATAACTTTCTCCACGGTTGACCATATATATGCATTCATCCATTGGTGAGATGTTTCCCTATCAGGTGTATTAGTGGTGGTTATGTAATGAGACAAATAATTTTCATAGGTTGAGTTATAGATTGGTCCAATATTAAGTTCCATCTGTTGAGTTGACATTTATTTGCCTGTGTGGTCGACCCGTTAGCTGTTTTGGTCCATGCAAAGAAAAATACCAACTTGTTGCTGTACGAGGCAAATAGCTAATATAATGTCTTAATCAGAATTTGTTCTTATTTATAATTGTATACATGAATGCATAATACTTATATTATACTCGTAAATGGCTAAAAGATTGTTTAATGTCATTAAACTTATAAATTGTGTTAGATCCTTATAATAATTAACATTGATTGTTGTTTACCTTCATAATTGTACTGAAAATTATGTATGCAATAAGGACCTTTATATCTAGGTATATAATCTATGTTAAGTTAGTCTAATGAACAACCCCTATCTAAAACTGTTGCATTGTATGATTTCTTTTTTTAGAACATCTGCAGGGAACTAAATCATGTAGTTCCAAAAAAAAAAAAAAAAAAAACCAACTGAACGAATCCACCTTACTATATAGAGACGTGTAATGGGCCTATGCATTCGACCTTCGGCTCAGCAAAATGACTAGTTTTTCTTTTTCAGAAAGACAAAACACATTATATTTAAGAATAATGAAATTACATACATGATAGAATCATAGAACTAAAAAGACTTTTTATATCGTAACAAACAATATTTATTCTTTTATAATAGACGAATCAGTTACGTCGTATATACAGCTTTGCAGCATATATAATCATATCAATGGTATATTAACTACTTAAAGACCAGAGGTAAACGGTACGCTGGACGGAATCCAAGAGCCACCGGCGAGGAATGTACCAACAGTAAACTTTGAAGCCTCTGAAGCAGAACCAAGGACCCGGAACCCAGGCCATGTGACCCGACTCGAAGTTGAAGCACCCGGACCCGTATTCTGAAACTCAGCGTAAAACAAAGTCTTCAAAGCGAAGTTACCATTCCACTCGAGCCAGCCACGTGGATCAATCAAACTATCGAGAGAGGTCTTCATAAAGACCGTCCTAGAGTATTGTCTCCAAGGCCGACCTAAATAAGTCTTGGTGGATCCCAAAACGGGTCGAAGATCAGAAGCTGCTGTGACCCGGGAGTTGTGGATAATGATACCCGTGTTTTGATTCGGGTCGGATCTTCCTTGAGCGGTGATGGTGTTGGTCTTACTACGTGGACGACGAGCAAAGATGTTGCAGTTCTGGAGAACCGCGGCTGCGTTTCCGAATATGAAATCTACAGTTCCATAAATGTCACAGTCGCGGTAAAACTGACGGTTGGAGTGGACGTAGAGAGTGTCTTGGTAACCTTCGAAACTGCATTGGTAAAAAACGGATAGATCCGACCCGGATCGTAGAGCTACCGCTTGTGCGTTGTTTGCACCAGCCGTGTTTCGGAACGTGATCCCACGCGCTATAAAAGCGTCTCCGACAGCAGCTGCAATTATGTGAGACAAAATATTAATTTTGGTTTTTACATTTTAGTTGCCTGTTAATTAAACTTCTTCAAAATCTAATAGATTATCAAAATTTGGTAAACTTACCGCAAAACAAAAACAATGTCTAAGAATTTGTGAAACTATTATGTTATTTCACGGCTTATGATCAATCAAAGATTCGATATAAGATTATTGAGAAATAATAGAGGATCTTCGTATATGAAACATTTGAACGAAAAAAAAAAACTACGTTGACTTATTTCTACCATTAATTTGTTAAGGGGAATTTCTTTCCATACTTTGTAAGAAAAAACATTAATTAACCTACAGATATGCTTGTAGAAAATTCAAGACGAAATTTAAAATCCTGAACCCAATATACAGCCTATAAGACGAAAGTGACGTGATTCTTTTTTTGGTAAATCATATTTAATTCCGCTATCTAGTTTGGTGTGTTCATGCACGTAACAATTCAATTCACACACTAACCATATTATATATCTCACGAAAATAAGCAAAGTTAATCATTTGTTGTTTTGTAAGTTTACGTACCGACAGTAGCAGAATTAAACGTTGTCGTTCCTCCTCCAACACTTCGGCTTCCGGTAATAATCGTCTTCCCTTTACCATCACCTCTCAACATAACATTCTTTTTTCGAATTTCAAGATTCTCACTGTAAACGCCTTGCTTCACATAGATCACGAACCTACCACTCCCTGAAGCAGCGTTAATCGCGTCTTTAATTGTCTTGAAATTACCTGACCCGTCTTTTGCCACCACCGCGTTGTCTTTTGGCGCCGAGGTTTGCAAGAGTTTACGGTCACCAGGTTTGACCCACGAAGGGAACCCATCTTTCTCCGGTGCGGTGTAGTTGAAAGGAACTTTATTAATGGCGAGTGTATTGCATATGAGATTTGAGACATTGTTTGACATCAAAGGAAGGACCATGTCAGTAACACCTAGCTCTAGGAACCCGTTTCGACACGTGTCAAGATTGGTTAGAGCCGTGCTTAGCCATGTTTGTGCGTCGGTTTTCGAACACTTCACGTTTGGGTCCATTGTCCCGTTGATGTTAGAGACGGTAAAGTCGTAGAGTTTGATACAATCTTCCCAAGCTGCTTTTTCACGTGTGTCGCGGCACTTTGGTCCAAGTGTGGACGCGTGGGTTTTCGCGAGGACGGCTCGGTCTAACGCGAGTTTCATTGAGATTTTGAGGAACTCGGATTCAGACTTGATGGGTTTATTATCTGAGTTATGGGTTAAGAAATACTCGCAAGGTTTAGGGTTTGGAGTTTGGCTGCACCACTTTTCCACGTCTTTCCGGTTGTACCCGGAAACGGTCGATGCCACGAGAATGCATAAGAACACAAAGGTAGTAATATTAGCACGAAAAGCCATTATAAGACCAAATGCTTTTGAGAAAAGAGAAGTTTGTGTTTGAAGGTATTGAGATTGATGAGAGTCGATGTGTTTATATAGATGTGGGGTGGCACTTGCTTTTTTATTTGAAGAAATAAATATTTTTTTTGGTGACAATTGTTTTTCTTTAATTTAAAGATATAAAGAAATTTATAAATCTGTAATTTAATTATAGACTAGTTGAAGCCTTGAAGCAAAAAAATAAAATAAAGGATTGGTAACGATCATGCCGTCACAGATTCTCTATATGTTGATTTTCTTTTTTTTGGGGGCTATCTTTTTGGACGTGTATAATACGCTGTGATTCGTTCAACTACGATACAAATTAAAGAGACTTATAACAATAATCAGAAAAAAGTCAGTCGACAATCGATTTGTACAAAAATATTCAACACAGATTAAATGTGAGAGCCTTGAAATAATAGCTTCGGTTTAGGAATAAGTAAAAAACTTAACTATTTTCTACTTTAATGAATAGATTATTAGCGTTTTCTTTAGCTATGAGTAGTTTATTAGGTTATACAATATAGTTCTAAAATTCAATAACATAACTGGCATAAACGCGTATTTGGGAGTTAAGCTCATCAATCGAATTCTTAAAAGTCTATTAAGAAGAACGAAGGAGGAGACTAGAAAAGTTAAAAGTCATATCATGCCTCTATAATTAATTAGTTTGTAGCGACGTAACAATATTACAAATTATTATATGAATTTAAGTAATGCAATGACAGTGTAATCGCTATCCACAAAGACTAATCAACCGCCAACGTTAACTTCGAAATTTCATTGGTTTTATCGTTTTATCAATAAACGACTCCTTTTGCCCTACGTACCGACCCCCATCCATTTGCACACAATTCTTTGTTAACATCAAGTAAATTAATTACTTTATTATAATTTTCAAAAATAAATAGAAATCATTAATCTTAAAGTAGAATAGAATAGTCTAAGACTACAATGCCCAAAAAGACCGTAGAAAGGGATACTTTTTTCTTTATGTTCACCATAAAAAGATACCTTTAAAAAAATATAGATTCTGTACGTTTAATCTTGTCACGGGGTTCATGCTGTTCCTAGGTGATAAGTATATAAGTATTTTGAAATTGGCTAACTTTGTTTTTTTTTTTTGGGTAGTTTTCGTGTACATAATCAGATTACAAAAGTGTTTGTCCAAAAAAAAAAAAAAAAAAAAAAAAAAAGATTACAAAAGTGTTTACGTACGTGTATTATATAAGATTATATTTTAAAGGTTTTCTAGCTCTATTATTGATATTTTTGTCATACACAAAAACTACCCAAAAAATAAAAAGTTTCCACCTTTTATGGTTAATATCTTTTTTTCTTTTGGTATGAATATTACGTTAAGCTTAATTATAACCTTCTTGAGTTCAAAACCAATATGTGATAAATGATAGTAATACTTGATAAGATGTAAATAATTTTTTTTCCTCAGTGGAAACTTTGTACTCGAATTTAAGAACTTATTAACCTTCCTAAAACAAATAAAAACTTTGCTAACCAAGTAAACCAGCCACGCAGAAGTAACCGTTATAATATGAATTATATTAATACGCGCGACAAAACACAATTAGTAATGTATTCTGGATGAAGTCAATGAAAGTAAGGTATTAAGAAAAGATGGGAAAATATATCGTACATCCTAGCTAATTCGTCCAACTAAACTAGAATCGAATCATCATATCCTCTTACAAAAAAAAAAAGAATCATCATATCTAACAAAATCCTTGCCTAGTTTTTTTTTTTCTTCAAAATAAGAATATATAAACTTTTGGGTTAGCTAGTGTTCATGTTTGAATAGATCGATATGGCTTTTTTGGTGGGTATAATCGAACAACGATCTCTGGACAGTATTTTTAGACGTTATCCTAACTGTGCTTAAACTAATTAAGTTGTTAATTAAGGAATCATATATAGATAATAGATTCAACCATATTATTAGTATGTGTTTTTTTTCTTTTAAAATTAAACAATTCAAGAATACGCAAGACTATATCGATGGTAGGTTGGCCATCTAATATATAAAAGCAAAAGATAGTAATGATCTTATCCGTCAAAATTCTTATTTATTTACTTGTTGACGAATTGGTTACATGCAATGCACAAACTATATATATATATATATGTGTGTGTGTGTTTCTATTATCTAGGCTTAACGTAATTACAAATATATGTAACTATACAAGTTAGGCACCACCATCATCTGTTTAAAGTCGTACGTTAATCTGTTCTTTCTTAGTTTTTTTTTATTAAAGAACATTGATATATTTATTTCATTCAGTTAGTTAATTATAATATCTTATATCATGAAAATTGTAGATTTTGGAGTCAGGTTTGTGAACAGAATCAGTAATGACTGGATATAGTTTTCTATATGTTTCATAAGACTCTGGACACACAAGACAATGAATTATGCGAACTCAGATTTAGACACCACATATTGTGATCACTATTGGGCGGTCCGCAATAGCCTGCCCGAGAAAGAAAATATAAAGTTTTAGATATCTCTTATTACACCAAAATGTGAATTTTTTTTTCTTTTATGCTCACTTAGTTAGACTCTTTACTTTGGTTTATGGTTAATATCAAAATCCAAAAAAGAATTGTGTCGTACATAGATTAGACTATGTTTGAATGTTTACTTAATTGGTACAAAGTATCATATTCTGGCTATGGATTATGGAAACGTCCTCGTTCAAATCAAGTGTGCGTTACACGGAACGTAGACGGAAGAAACGAGGTTTTCAAAAACTAGCAGAAACCGTAGAGGTCTCAATCCATGAGTAGATGACCAACACTATCATTTCGCCTAAGTTGACTTCTTACGCTCACGACCACAAAACAATACCACGTTCTTTTTTTATATAGGTAACGAAATTAATTGTTTTTGAATATAACATTTGCGGGTGAGCTATGATATTGACTCTGGACGTTAATTAGTCTTCTGGATTATCCATAGAAATTTTCTTATTTAGGACAATAAGAAAAGAGAATAAAAAATTAAATGTGTATATATGAAGAGGTTATCATCAATTTGAGTACTATCATAATCTACTCTTTTGACAAATTACATCATGAATATACTTACAAAACATTAAAAAACAACTAGGGTTGACCACATTTTCTCACCTCTCTATACTCTATAGGGACATTTTCGTTTGTTAACATTTGTTAGGACACATTATATTATATATGATGCTCTACCATCGCATCGCAGAGTCAATATTTTTGCTTAAAGTTGAAAGGTTTATATATAGTTATAAATCGAAAATAATTATAATCTGTAATCCTGAAGCAACCTGTCCTGAATAAACCGAATTAGATATAATCAGTACATATCAAAAGTCATGTTATTGTTAGTTAAGACTTTCTTTAAAAAAAAAAAAAAATTATATGCGGCAGTGCATATATGTATGTGTTAAATACATCTACTCAAACAGTCAAATCTAATATATACATATATCAGATTGATTAATCATATAAGTAAATAAAATGAAGACATGATTATGGTTTTTAAAATTCTCACGCAAAAGAAAAGAGGTACAGAAAGTAGTTGTGTAACAAGACAATAATTTAAGATCGTTAGAACCTCGTTATCGAAAGGACGTACGAATATTAAATTGAAATTTTCTCGATTTAACTAATGAAATGGGAATATTCTGGTTTCCACAATAGTTTAGTTTAAAGACTATAAGGTAGCGATTACTTATAATTCAAGTTTCCGTTCAAGGCCCGCAAAGGCTTTGTTTTGCTGTCTTCGTTTTAAGTCCTTAATCCTAATCATCATTTCAGGTTATCCTTCTCTTTTATCATCACAACTAGCATTCGTATGCAATATAAACTCTTCTTTACATATATTTCTGTTGCTGTCCTGGTACTTAATCAAACGTGTATAATTAAGCACAGTACAAGCTATTAAATAAATTCGATAAAATTGTGATATTATAGACTAGTTTTAATTTTGGGCAACTTATTTAAAATATAAAACTTGAGCTGAATTGTTTACGTACGCTATATATATAGCAAATTCTTTAGGACACGACGAGACCAATTATAAATTATAATACTTTCTAAATATTATATTTTTCTCATTTATATGGCTAAAAGCCTATGAATAAATATGACAACTTATCGTGAATTTCAAGTAATCATGTCTACCTTTTTTTTTTTTCCAGATGAATCTACTTTAATTGTTATTTACGAAAATGAAAACTGCTTCAGTTATCAGGACCTAAACAACCAAAAAATCAAGAATTTTTATTTTCTAGATGGTCATGTTGACATGTTGTAAGAGAGAAATTAAAATTTTATTTTGATTGACACATTCGCTCAAACAAGCGAGTATAACATACACACGTACGTACGTGTCTCAAATTTTGTTTACAAAAAGAAGAAAAAAGGATAAGGCGGAGACAACAAGTCCGCATGCATGAACCAAGAGGCAGAGACAAGTCCGCTCCGCATGCATGAGATGAGAATACATGTACAATGTACTTTTCCTGACCGATTGGTTTTACTTGTGAAATAAGTCTGTCCACCACGTTTGAATTGGATGGTCAAATTAATCTTCGTTTAACTCTTAGTGATTTGATTTCGATTCAAGTGACCATGTATTTGGGCCTTAAAGCCTGGTTTAAATGTTAATTGGGCTACTCACGGAGCACTTTGGTGGACTTGGGCAATCATGTACTAGTTTTTTTACCTTTATCATACAAATAACAAAATAAGGCAGTAGTTATTGAAAAAGTAAAAAAACTGCTGTGTTATTTTTAAGGTATGGATAACAAAAGAAAAACTAAAAGAGAAAGACTAATCTACTGCCTGGCCAGCCAAACCAGTTAAACAGAGTAAGTTTTGGAGAACGGCGTCGTTTTGAGATTTGTTAATTTCCATCAAGTCTTTGATAAACCCTAGAGTCTCGTCTCGTGTTTCTCTCCCTCTCCAAAATTCAGACCGGCGATTCTGAGCTGGTTCTCTCATTGAACTGTTAAGGCTTCTCATACGAGAATCAAGTAATTGAATGGCCGGTGAATCAGATGCATCGATCGTTGCGACTCTTTCCTGTGCTCGCTGCGAGAAGCCTGCGCATCTTCAGTACGTAATTACCCTTCTTCCTTTCTATTTGACCTTCATAGTTGTTGTCAGTTTAGCTCCAAAGTTTCGATTTTTCTATGGATGGCTTCGATAACTGTTGCTTTTAGATAGGTTAGGGGGATGGGATGCTGATTCATGTCCACTTCGATTTCTAATGTTATTGATATCGTGTTTAGGCATAGTTTCGTGTTTGTTTCTTGGGATCGTGAACTGTTTCTATATGCTGGCAGGTGTCCGAAATGCGTAGACTTGAAGCTTCCCCGTGAAGAAGCCTCTTTCTGGTATGTGTTGCCTTTAAACCTTTTTTTATTTGGCGAGTCTTTTTTTTTTTTCTTTTTCAAAGTTTTAATTTTTGTTCATGCTTTTGGTAACAGCACTCAAGAATGTTTCAAGGCAGCTTGGAGCTCGCACAAATCAGTACATGTGAAAGCTCAGCTGTCTTCAATTGCCAAATCCCTTCCCGGTGATCAGAACTCTGATCTTATTTCTCAAGGTTGGCTCTATTGCGTGAAGAAAGGCCAGGCTAGAACACCTAAGCTTCCCCACTTTGATTGGACAGGGTTTGTAACCAATTTTTCCCAGTGTTATTTGTTCACAAGATATTGCATAATGTTTTTTATGCTGTTACGTCTTCCTCAGTTTGGAATTCTTATATCTTCTTGCGTTGTGTAGGCCCCTAAAGCAATATCCCATATCTACCAAGCGTGTTGTCCCTGCTGGGATTGATAAACCTGACTGGGCAATTGATGTAAGTGCCCATCATTTTGTGGTCTACTACTAGCAAAGTTGAACTTGAGTTAATTCGACTTTGATAGTGTAATAGTTAATTAGCTAAGAATGGCTTCGTCTCAAGACTTGTACTTTTACTTGAGCTGTTATAAAACAGTTCCCTGTGCTATGTCTGTGTCGATCTCACTTGTCTTGCAATGAGTTCATAGCTTATAATATTCCCTATTATAAACTTATACTTTCTACCATTTTTTCTTTTCAGGGGACTCCCAAAGTTGAACCAAATAGTGATCTACAACACGTTGTTGAGGTTAGTGATGCTTTGATAAATTAGCATTTGCTTATTCAATTGTTCTGAATGTGGAGCCGCAAACACAAATCTTTGATCTCATTGTGACTAACAAGGTATTTTGTTGTCCTGTAGATAAAAACCCCCGAACAAATCCAGAGAATGCGTGAAACCTGTAAAGTTAGTGTTATTATCTTTCTTTCCCGTAATGCAAGTGGACTATATATCCTACTGATCTTTTTTCAAGGTTCTTATTTGAACATATTCTGTTATCAGATTGCCAGAGAGGTCCTGGATGCAGGCGCTAGGGTGATTCGCCCCGGTGTGACTACTGATGAGATTGATCGAGTAGTTCATGAAGCAACTATTGCAGCAGGTTTGTGTCTTCTAGGATTCACTGTTTACTTTGAATCTTTTAGTTTGTCTTATCCTGTCAATCATGCAAGTTCATTCACAGACACTGTAACTATTGTATAATCTTATGTTCTGGCAGGAGGATATCCATCTCCCCTCAACTACTATTTCTTTCCCAAATCTTGCTGCACGTAGGTACTTCTTTTGTGTCTACTTTATTACCTCTACCATGTATTTCCTCTGTTTCTAAAGTGTGTTCTGAATATTCCCTTTCAGATCTGTTAATGAAGTAATTTGTCATGGAATTCCGGATGCGAGGTATGCTTTTTAATCTAGACCGTTTTGAACCTTTCTAACATCATAGCTAAAAGGACCTTGTAAATTTTACCCTAATCACTCATGCTTTAATTGCTTCAGGAAACTAGAAGATGGTGATATAGTAAATGTTGATGTAACAGTCTATTATAAAGGTTGCCATGGTAAGAACATCTTCCGCAGAAAAACTGATAGTTTTTCTTATTTTTGTTACCTGTTGAGATATGACGGCTCATGGAATAATGTTTGGGTAGGTGACCTTAATGAGACATACTTTGTTGGAAACGTTGACGAAGCATCACGTCAACTAGTTAAGTGCACATATGAGTGCCTGGAGAAAGCCATAGCAATTGGTAGGTGCTAAGTTGCTCCTGTTCTAAGGTTTTATGTTTTGACTGTAATCTATGTCAAACATTGAGAAGAGATGCTGATGCTTAATTCTTTGTCTCTTTCAGTTAAACCTGGAGTAAGATTTCGCGAAATTGGAGAGATAGTCAACCGCCATGCTACAATGTCTGGGTTATCAGTGGTAAAGTCTGGTTTTCTTTCTTGGCTGTTTATGATTTTCACAGCATCTGCCTGTCTAATTAAAACTTACTTGTGGTTAAACAGGTGAGATCCTATTGTGGTCATGGTATTGGAGATCTCTTCCATTGTGCCCCAAACATTCCTCACTATGCAAGTATCCTTTGTTAGTTTAGAATTTGGTGACATTGTATGTTGTTGTCTTGTTAGTCTATTCCAGTGTTAGTGTCCTTAAATCAAAATCAGGAAACAAAGCAGTTGGAGTGATGAAAGCAGGTCAGACTTTCACAATCGAGCCAATGATCAACGCAGGTGAGTTTTTTTCTTTTTCTTTTCCCATTCCTTAAATGTTTAAATATGTTACTCCCATTTACTAAACAAAAGGACATTGTCATGATAGGGGCATGGCGGGATCGAACATGGCCTGATGGATGGACTGCAGTTACCGCAGATGGAAAACGCAGCGCTCAGTTTGAGCATACCCTCTTGGTAACGGAGACTGGTGTTGAGGTTTTAACAGCTAGGCTTCCTTCATCACCTGACGTATACCCTTGGCTTACCAAGTGATTAAGGGCATGGTTCCTGTTTCTTTTTGTGATTCATTGGGTCTGATTCGTAAACTTTTGAATAATAGTGTGATCTTTTGCCATTCAAGACTATTTGATCTTTATTACCTTGTTTATGTAATTTTTATTACTTTCATTTTGACTGAAATGTAAGGAACCCGTTTTCATCTGAAACTCGTAAAGACAGGTTTTAGTATGCTAGAACCGGATCATTCGGAGTCGACTCTGTTTTCAAAAGAACGTAGAACAACCTCAACTACTACTAGGCATATTAAATCACAGACTGGAAGACAACAACTTTTTTCTTTTTGGATAATAGATAGATGATACAGGTAGGCTTCTGAGAATATAATTATAGCAAAGAGGAAATAAAAGTTGCACAACATAGTGACAGTTCCTGAGATCCTTCACTCAAGGACCTTGACACCTGAAACATAAACTCGGCTTTGAATCACACTGCCACCAATCCAAAACCCAGGCATAACCATTAGACCAACTCTTGGTTTCTCCTCTTTTTCATCCACAACTATGTTCTTCACAACACTCTCCATGTATGAATCAGAGAACTCACTACCCTTCTTAACTTGGAAGATCTTTGCAGCTGGATCAAACGAGTAAGCAAGCCTGTGCAAGATCCATATCGACTTTGCAAGTTTTAAGAAGGCCTGGTAAAATGCAGTCCTCGGGTGCCCACCTCCTGTCACGTAGTCACGCTGGTCTAGATTTCCAAAGAAGGAAGCTTCCATCTTTGGGTGGACCAAGATGAGATACTTGCTCCTACAGAATATACCAAAGTTGGAATCAGGGTTAGTACCTAGAGCATCTAGTGGATCCATGTCCTTCAGAGCAAGAAACTGGCGGAAGAAGGTGTCTGTGTCGTCATCAGCCATAACCATACTACTCTCTGAGTTTACTGAGAAATTCTTCTGCTGAAACCCACTGAACATCCTTTGGCATATGTATGATTCAAATGCATATTTCTTGTGAGGCCTCTTGGCGTAAGAAACATCAGGTTCAATGGAATTGGCTGCAGAATCAAGATCCCATCCCGCAGCTTTCATCATGTTGATTAGCGGCTTGGAGAAATCATGCACAGCTTTAGCAGCAGTTTCATAAGTAGATATGAAGAGTTCGGTGGTTAAGTCAGGAAATTGCAAATTGCCATCTCCACCAGAGCCTTCGTTTGCAGACATTCCTCTTAACTTGAGATTCTTCTCAAGCTTAAGTCGTTTCTGGTTTGCTTCTTCAATCTTCTGCAGCATCTGCGTGATCTCAGAATCCTTGTTCTGAATCTCAGACTGAAACTTCTTCACCATAACCTCATAAGTCTTCAAGAGACTCTGCTGTTCTTGGATCTCTGCAGCTAAACGAGAGTCTTGTGGAGAGACACACACAGGTTTGGGGTTATTCTCTCTGTAAAAGTGCTTCAGTTCCGAAAGATTCTTGAGTTCAGAAATAACAACTTTATCGGCTGCCTGAATCTTCTCGGGATCGTAAGGCGTATGAGCACTTTGAAGCTCAATATAAGCAGACTTCAAAGATGAGATGTTCCCAAAGAGATTAGAAATAAGTGCTTCCATAGCTTCTGGGTTCTGATTGATAGACTCTTCCATTGGTTGAGGATGGACTTTTTGGTTGTTGTTGCTCTCACGGAGTTGGGTTTCTTTCAACCCACTAGGTAGCATACTTGAAACCACCAAACAAAATTGTATTTCTCCTAACCTCTCTAATCCAAAACAAAACCCACCAAACTTGCCCTGCAAAAACAAAAAAAATGTATTTTGTCTCAGAATCAAACTTGTGGAATAGGAGACTCAATTAGAAAAAACCGGAAAACAAAACTAATCCAGAAAAGCAAAATCTCTTCTTCGTTTACAGATCTCGAAGTGAATCATTCATTTCCACACAAAACCTGGTATCACTTGTGATGTAGACTACGAAAACTATGGAAAATGTGAAATCATCAAAACCCTAAACATCTTTCAATACTGTTCCTTCCCAGAAAAAATCCTTTCACAAATATTTGCAATTCAGGTTTACAAAGAACTGTGTAAATGTCATCTGAATCTAGTGAGAAGAGATCGGAAACAAAAGAGATCACCTGGATTTGCTCCGTGTGCGTGCGTATTTACTTTTCAGACAAACAAAAGATGTTTCGCGGCAAGTCAACTAACTTATGATCAGCTTTCACGCCAGATAAGTAGAGGAGAACGAAACATCAAGCTCACGGCCGGATCCTTCGCCTGAGATTTAGCCGGAGGTGAAGGAAATACGGAGAAAGGTATATACACTTTTCTAGGAAGTGAACGAAATGGTAAAGTTCATTATTTCTATTTTTCTACTTGCTTTGTGAAAACCTCTACATTACTCAGAGGGTTCTCTGTTGCAGTGGTCCAGCCAAAACCGAAAATTTAAATCGGTTTGAATTTAAACCGGATTGGGCAGCAATCGCAATGTAAATCGTCTTCTCCGCACAGTTCCAATTTCCGTGTATCTCTCTTTCGGTCCGGTGAAATGGTTCGCCTGTTTCTTACACTTTCTCCGGCGATTTCCCGATTCAATATTTATCCTGGAATCTCTATATTAGCGACTAATCCTTCTCTCAGGTTACAAAAACACCATCAACTTAAAACCAAAACGCCCGCTTTCTCGTTAATCCCTCCTTCATCTTCACCCAATTTCCAAAGGACGCCTTCTAACTCTACCGGAACAAGAACTTTCTCGTCACCCAAAAGTGGAAATTCGAGTTTTGGTGATAATTTGGTTGTTTTGGGCATTGAAACGAGCTGCGACGACACTGCTGCTGCTGTCGTAAGTCCCGTTTAATCACATTTGGTCTCTTCTTCTCCTTATCGTTTATTTATGTTAACTTATATATTAGTTCATTGCTTGAAATTTGTGGGTTTCAGGTGAGAGGTAATGGTGAAGTTCTTAGTCAAGTCATTTCTTCTCAGGTAAAGATCGGTCCCTTACTTAATTGGCTACTAGTAGATTCATTGGCCTGCATTATGTTTACAAGACTCAACTTATGAACTGAAGACATAGTTTTGTCTGAGATAGCCAATCACTTTTTTGAACTCTCTTTGGTTTTCTTTTTACTTTATATAATAACTCATCAAGTTTTTACCTGTTCTGATCTTGGAATTGGCGACATAAGGCAGACCTGCTTGCCCAATATGGAGGCGTCGCTCCTAAACAGGCTGAAGAAGCACACTCCAGGGTTATCGATAAGGTAATATAAACTTTTCCTCACTGCAAGCCTACGCACTCAATACCTCTCTAGTATCTTTGATTCTGTCCTTGTTCGGAATTGCATGACATGCTCCTGCATCAATATATGATGGTCCAGCTGCTTCTTTTCACCCCAAGATATGCATAGGTTTCGCCATTCGATCAAAACTGTTGATTCATTGGTTGCAGGTTGTGCAAGACGCTCTTGATAGAGCCAATTTGAGCGAGAAGGATCTCTCTGCTGTTGCTGTAACTATTGGACCTGGTTTGAGCCTCTGTCTACGCGGTAAGTTGGAAAAAAAAAGTGTTCACTCTTGTACTTTGAATTAACAAGTGTCGTTAGGGTACTAATCAGGATTGAAGTGTTTCTTTCTGAGTCATACAGTTGGTGTACGGAAGGCTCGAAGAGTTGCTGGTGAATTCAATCTCCCAATGGTTGGGGTGCATCACATGGAGGCTCATGCCCTTGTAGCTAGGTATTTCTTGATGTGCTTGCTTTATGTTTTTGCTCCCATTTTGAGATTTGGGGATTGCTCATTAGCTTTCAATTTGTCTTTGTAGATTAGTGGAACAGGAGTTAAGCTTTCCGTTCATGGCATTGCTTATATCAGGTATGTTGCTTATCGTTTTTTTAATCTTTCTAAAGCAGAACCAATTTCACAACGGATTTAGGTTTTGTCTAAACAGGGCTCTCCCTTTTTTCTGTTTAGGAGGGCACAATCTTCTAGTTCTCGCTCATAAGCTAGGTCAGTACACCCAACTTGGGACTACCGTAGATGATGCTATAGGCGAAGCCTTTGACAAGACAGCAAAATGGCTTGGCCTTGATATGCGTAGAAGTGGCGGACCAGCTGTTGAAGAACTTGCTCTGGAGGGTGATGCCAAATCTGTTAAGTTTAATGTAAGTGAAACTAGTTTGCTGGTTAGCTAAACAACTTATTCTTGTTCAACTCAATGTCAGAATCATTTATGTTACATTACGATGTTTATCAGGTTCCAATGAAAAATCATAAAGACTGCAACTTTTCATATGCTGGTTTGAAGACACAAGTGAGGCTAGCCATTGAAGCCAAAGATATGTAATGTCTTAGAAAATAGTTACATCTTAGAATCAGCTTAGGAAGTTATTTATCTGATTAATGTTGCATATGAGAAAGCTTTGTGTTAAATAAATAATGTCTTTTGCTTGCTCTTCAGCGATTGTAAACATCCCCTCTCTTCGGCAACAAACGAAGACAGAAGAAACCGTGCTGATATTGCTGCTTCTTTCCAGGTACAAATCAATCTGTGTTTTTAATGTTCTTGTGAAATGCTGATCTCTAAACATGCCCTGTTTATATGAAACATGTCCTGTTTATATGAACCAGCGAGTAGCTGTTTTGCATCTGGAGGAAAAGTGTGAACGAGCAATAGACTGGGCATTAGAACTAGAGCCTTCTATAAAACATATGGTGAGGCTTAGAATGAGGAAAAAGAAACCTCTGTTTTGCTTAACAAACGCTTGTAGACTAATATTGACAAATCTTCAGGTAGTCTCTGGTGGTGTTGCTTCAAACAAGTATGTACGACTTCGACTCAATAACATTGTTAAAAACAAAGAACTGAAACTTGTTTGCCCTCCTCCAAGCCTTTGCACAGACAATGGTAGATAGAGTGTGAGATTATCCTGCTGACCGAGTTAGATATACAGGGAATATTAATTGACAATTTATTAATCTCTCCAGGAGTAATGGTGGCTTGGACAGGTCTCGAGCATTTTCGTGTAGGAAGATACGATCCACCTCCACCTGCAATTGAACCTGAGGATTACGTGGTACGTTTTTGAAACAAAAACTCGATACTTAGAAAGATCCTATTGTTTAGAAAGATAAAAAGATTCTAATTTGTGATTGATGTTTTCTGGATGATGAATTTAGTATGATCTTCGACCGAGGTGGCCTCTCGGAGAGGAGTATGCGAAAGGAAGAAGCGATGCTCGTTCTATGAGAACTGCACGGATTCACCCGTCACTTACTTCAATCATCCGAGCGGATTCTCTTCAACAACAAACACAAACATAATAAGAAAGATAGTCTCCTTAAAAAAAACTAGACAGATTCCAAATCTTTTAGCTTGATTTCTCTCTGCATGTATATGTAACCTTTTCAGTTTTCACGGAGTAAGAAACACGCTTTCCGGTTAATATTGAATTAGTTCCGTTCAATCAGTTGTCCCGGTTGACCTAAACCATGCCCGGTTTATTATACTTTTTTATTTATTTAGTTGGCGCCAACACTCACAATTGGGCGGCGCAAACTCGCCGGCGAAACCTCATCACTAGCGACTACAGCATGGAGGCATGGCTGTTACCGTTGTCGTCTTCGATCAGAGGAAAGCTTATATCGGCCGGTTACACTACTCTGGCTTCGATTTCTTCCGTCTCTTCTTCTGATCTCGCTCGAGGTGAATTTCTGAATCTCGTATGGGGTTTCTTTTTCGGGGTCATGCTTTTGAATCGTTTCACGACTACTGTCGTCGAAATGCCTTTTTCTCTGATTTCCCTGTTAAACGCAATCGATTACTGCTGGGTTGATGTTTAGGGTTTATCACCCTATTGATTGAACTATATCTTAGTTCTAAATTCTTGTAGAATTCTCTTTTTTTGTGGGTTATGAGCAGATGTGAATATCACAGAAGATGAAGCATTTGAGATTTTGAAACTGGCTAATCAATCCTCTGGATCCAGTTCTTGCAATGGAAGCCGTTCTCTCATAAATGGTAACTTGATGAACTCCTTTGGAACTCTGTTTGGTTGTTTTCTTCTTATATGATGATGATTCACTCAAGGATACTCTTTTTGAAAATTTTGACCAAACAAGGAGCAAAGAACGCTTGGGATATGCTTCACGAAGAGGAATCTTTGCCTCGCATCACTACATCTTGTTCTGATCTTGATAATATCTTGGGCGGTGGGATAAGCTGTAGGGATGTTACAGAGATTGGTAAGCCATCTCCGTTAGTTTCTTTCTCTGGTTCATTTTGGCAACACAAAGAGGTGATTCTATCTTTTGCTTATTTTCTCCAGGTGGGGTACCGGGGATCGGCAAGACTCAGATTGGGTAAAATTACCCGCTTCGCTGGTTTCCTCTACTTTCTCATCAGGTTTTGCTCTTCGGTTAATTTTGATTTGATTTTCAGGATCCAGATCTCTGTGAATGTTCAGATTCCTCGTGAGTTTGGTGGTCTTGGAGGGAAGGCAATATATATCGGTATATTTTTTTAGTAACGAGGATGAATGACTTGGTTGATTTACTGTTATGAACCAACTTTTGCTTAAGGAATAAGAGAGATTCTAAAAGCTTAGCTCCCTCTTAACCCTAGTCTCTCTTAGAGATTAAGGTTAATTCTTGGGGCTTGGTTTCTCATTAGCATAATGACCTATATTTATATAGGTCATGATACAACTTTTAATTAACCTAAACATTAAAACCAAAACACCCAACCCTAATGTATTAATTAATTGTAAATAATTAAACTAAAATATCAAAACCCAAAACACCCAACTTCATCACTAACATCAACCATAGTCACGTATCATTACTCCCCTCCTCCACTCGGAACTTGTCCTCAAGCTCCAACTGCGGTTACACGACTTTAGCAGTGTTAAGAATCGTTGAAAGTTTCTTGAAGCTTTTGTAAGAAATAGTTGAACTTTTGTCTCTAAACTCACTTTCACTCGCGGAGTGTTTCTCTCTCGTGTGTTAAGCTTAGGAAAAAAAAACCAGAACTGAAAGTAAAAGACACAGCAAGTTTAACGAGTTCACGTTCCAAACCGGAAACGCTACGTCTCGCCGAGATTAACTCGGAAATCCACTAGAAAGCTGTTCTTGGTTACAAAAACCCTAGAGACCAACTATAAACTTAGCCGTCTCTTCTCCTTGCTCTCTTAACCCTAAAAAACCTCAGCTTACTCCCCTTTTATACAAGACAACCTATCTCTCTCTCTTCTTTCTTTCTCGCATGCTCTGTTCCGTACAGAGGAAGGAGACAAAAGAGATTGAGTTCAGACATAGGTTAATTACTCCTTTGTCCCTTTGCTGAATTGTATAGATGTCACGTGAGCTCCTCGTGACCTTCTTTGTTTCTTTTGCTGAAACCTTCATCTTGGGTAAGAGTTTCTTAGACACTTGGGCAAAACCTCACAAAACTCCACCTTTGCCTTAGTGTTAAACCTCTTCTCTTCACTATTCTAGCTTTTCTTGATTTCCATCTCGGATCCTGACAAATTATCAAGCTTGTGATACTTTGAGAAGCTTCATATATGCTTGAAGCTTTTTCTCCGGTAATTCCTTAGTAAAGACTTTGGCTTGAACATAAGCACTTACTCTCTTTACAGTCTTGATTACCACTTCTGCAATCCTTCTCCTTATGAACTGCATACTGCTTACAATATTCTTTGCACTTGTGACCTCAAGCAACCTGTTTTTGCTCCTTTTGTCACAGTATACTTCAACATTTTCATGTTGACTTTCACTTTCTGTAAACAACCTTCCCAACCTGCTTACTACTAAACTCCACCTTGGTTTGAATACAATCCCAACTTGATTCCTTTCTTAAGCATTTGACTAAGAGCTGCACTTAAAACCTTTCAGTTCTAAAACCTGCAAATCTCCAAAGTCTCTGCATATATCACCTTAATGCAGACCAAACGCTCAACAAATTTATTCCTTCCAAGACCTCCAACACTTCACCGCCAAAACTGAGTTGTAAAAAATAACCAGCCTGAAACACACACACTTGTGCTTTGGCTAAACTCTTATTGACCTCTTCATGTCTCTATAGTCTTGATACTAACCAATCAACAAATTCCATTAACAAGTTTAAAATTTCCACCAGACCTGTTAAAACAGAACAGAATTCTTCATAAGCTCCACCACTTATGACTTTCAAGTCACAAAGCATCCTCTGCAGCTTCTGTTCTCACCACAGAACCGTTGAAGTGACTGAACTCAATTACCCTTTGCCTTTATGATTCTCTTTCTTGCTGCAAAGATTGATCTCATGCGCATTGAGACAAACCTTGCTGACACAAACTAGAATCATATGCAAGAAACCAGAACCAATCATAGCTTCTGACCTGAAACCATTTGGTTCAACATGTAACCAATGGAAAAACAACAGCAGCTTACACCACTGTATAAACCTGAAACTTCTTTTCAGAAACCCGTTTAACCAGACCATACTTGGACACCAGCTTGTACCGTTGTTAAAACTTAACAACACACGCCACCTAACACTCATTATTAGGGAGACTTTCGATACATACCTTGTCCACTTCTTCTGTTCAAACAGACCTTTACCAACAACTTTTGAGCCCCTGTTAGTCATCTTTAAACCTGTCCCATATCCACCAAACCAGTGACCACTATGAGACCCATCTTACAGTCCTTTAAACTTCACCTTTAGAACTCTTGAAGTTACTCGCGGCTGTAAACTTATGCATTTAATATCTTTCTGATATTATCTCTCAGTTGCTTGAATATGAACCCAACTACCATGATGCATACTCAGTAGTTTCACAAACTTCTTGAAGTGAAAGACTTTGAGACAACCTTGCAACGCCTGCAACTATCTCTTTCCCAGTTTCTTCATGACGAATTCACTGATTCAATTTAATACTTTGACATTTCAAACCACATTCCCTTATTCTTTTCTAAAAATTTTAGAACCTCCAACTGTTCCTTGAACCTGCAAATTTCAGAACCTGCAACTGATACTTGAACGTGCTGCTAAGACCAAGCATTTTTCTTCCAAGCTTGATTCATCTCAGATCATATCTGAATTTACAGCCACAGCTTGTCACAAAAAAAAATACTCCACCAGTATACTAACATACTACTAGCTATCTTTGATTATTGTCGTTTATCACCAACACGTGTGATAAACCTTTGCAGCAATCTTCCACATCACTTCTTAAGAATATGATGTCACTTACTCATGCCAAAAAAAATACCCTGCAAAACCTGAACCCGGTATGCTTGGAAAAACAGCTTGACATTTGCATCAATTACCAATACTGACATGTCTTGAATCTCTCCTCAACCATCACCTTCACTTGTGACGATGCTTCAGAGACCCTCACTGTGACTGTTCTTTAAACCCTGAACCTGAACTTCTCCTTATTCATCAGACTCATACTGCAAAACCTGATGGAAAACCTCACTTGACAAATTTCCTGCAAGTGATCCTTTGAGAAAACAAATCCAAATTGGTCTTCTTTTATGCAACTAGACACAACAGTCTGGATTTTCTTCTAGACTCCAAATGCAGTATGACTTCTGCATTTCCATTTCTGTAAAAGAAATCCCAGGAGTATCTCCCAGTATTTGAGACCACACTTTAAGCACAACAGCTTCATTCTTCTTGAAGTGATTAACTCTGAAACAATCCTTGCATTGATCACTTGCAACTGTTTCTTTCACTTTCTCTTCCCAAAATTCTCTTTAAAAGAACGAATTGAGAACTTTGAATGTGTCTCAAAAAAAATATACTTGTATAAACTCTGAATCTTTAGAGATCCAGCAGTACTTGGTACTCTTTATCAAAATCTCAAGCTTCTTCTCATACCCGATAACACCTCTTCTTTGTCATCAAACGAGACCATACACAGCTTGACCCTTTTGATAATCCCCTATTCTTGATCTCTTGGTCTTTCTTCCTCACCAAAATTCCATGATTCTTCTCTTAACAGTGAGCTCCACATGTTTAACTTCCTTCTTTGAACCATCATATGCTCAGATTTCTTCGAAACATCTGACAGCATATACTTGAGGAAATCGGCTGCAGTAAATCATTGCTTGGCGATGAATCCCAAAAAAAAACATCTAAAGATGTGCTATACACTCTTGTATAGACAGATTCCATCTATAGCAACACCATAAACTTCACTGCATTTCTTCCCACTTGGCTCCACCTTTGTTGTTAAACATTCTAGTTCACTGACTTTGAATCCATACAAATTTTACTTTGTGTATCCGACTAGAACTTCATGACTACTTACTTGGAAAAACAATGTGTCTGAACCTTAGAAATACGTTTTCACCTTCCTGCTTGATGTAGCCATCCTAACTAGTCTCTTGTGTAATAAGAAAGACCACCAAGAACAATTGCTTCTAATGAAGCTTTCTGACTCCTTTGACTGTTGAAGAAGTCACATTCACAATATGT